AGCCCCCTATGTAATAGCCAATTTACATGACAGGTCCTCTTTATGGAGACATCAGGGATCTCCAAGACCCCTAATGTCACCTAGGGACCCCCAGAGAAGCTGATGAAGCGAAGATCGGCTTCACCAGCTTCTGTAGCTGGAGAGTGACACTGAATGCAGGAAGTGATGTAATATACATCACTTCCTGCATTCGGGGACTGAGAGGAGATCAAAGGGAAACCGTATACTGAACTCCCTTTGATCTCCTGTCACAGAGCCGTGCCGGTCCCGGCCGCATCGGGCACAGCGGATCTCGGGACCGGCAGTGACAGCTGCTAATCCAAGCGATCGAGCGTCTCTCGAGACGCCCGATCACTTGAATGTAAAGCTCCCGGCCGGCCGTATAATTACAACGGCCGGCCGGGAAGCTGCTCGTCGGGCTCCGCCGTCCTCTCGTTGCGGACGAGTGGATTTTCCAAGCCCTGATTATTATTATACAGGATTAATATAGCGCCAACAGTTTGCACAGCGCTTTACAATATGAGGAGGACATTTGTTACAATACAATTCAACACATTTTTTTTTATACTTGGGAAGGTTGGCTGCCAACAGCCACACACAACCAATATATCAGGTCTAGGTGTATTGACCCTTTAATTCTGTGCCTAAGGAGGCTCTGGTTTTCCCTTCTACAAAATCTAAGAATTTAGGAACAAGAACAATGTGACACACACACTGAAATAAACACTAAACACTAAAATACATTCAAGAACCTGAACTCTGAACAACAATGTATCTTATTTGTGTATCACTCGGCTGTAGATCCTCCAATCATCTCTGAATTGGTGCCGACACTGTCCTATCTTCTGGAGGGGGGCTACTTTTGTTCCCCATGGTCCCTGTGTGTGTTGTAAAGTAGTCACCGCTCCAAGCTCACTCCCGGGATGGACTACAATCTCAGTACAAATCAGTAAACTGAACATGAGATTGTAGTCCATCCCGGGAGTGAGCTTGGAGCGGTGACTACTTCACAAAAAAACATAACATTTTGTCTGTATATACACTGTAGGAGGTTGGTAACCTTAGCACTCCAGCTGTGGTAAGACTACAAATCCCGTCATGTTTCTGGGAGTCATGCCTGTGGGCGGTCGGGAAGCTTTCAGTGCCTCATTGGGCTTGTTTCACAGCAACTGGGGTACGGAGGTTGCCTCCCCCTGTTTTTAACTGATGTGGGGTGTGTATGCGACCATGTATCTGCAAAGGTCCCCTTTCCCCATCACAGCTGGCAATGGCACTGAAATCACTCCCTCGGTCATGTGACAGTAGTCAGGTCTTGTGGTTACCTGACAGGCCTGTCACTGCTCCACCCAGGTAATCGACATGCCTGAATTCAGTGGCGGCTGTGATGGAGGAAGGGGTGGTGAGTATAAGGGGGTTCGGGGGGAGCAGAGAAAATCTGGAGCAGCTGTGCACGGCAAACAATCAGCTTCTCTCTTTCATTTTCAAATTTTAACTTCACAAACTGAAGAGAGAAGCTGATTGGTTGCCATAGGCAACTGCTCCAGATTCTTCTGCTCCAGTATTGATAAATTCCCCTCAATGTGTCCATAGCTGCTTACCAGGTTCAGGTGTCATTTCTCTATAAAGCCACAAACGTGCTTCTTTTGGATTGTTGCATTGTTGTTCCTTTTGCATCTCTTTAATGGAGCACTTTTATATTGTTTTTTTTATTGTTAATGTTTCCCTTTTTTATTTTGCGTTGAACAGGTGAAGGGAGAAGAGGAGGAAGACGGTTACTTGGAAATACAGGAGCTAAAAGGCAAAAAGTAAGTTCTGAATGATTGAGCAAGGAATATGGATCCCGGGACTACAGGAAGCTGTTGGTTTTACTTGTCATTTCCCACCTGAAGTTTAAAAGTGATGCCAAGGGCTCAGATTGGCTGTTGTCAGAGAGCCCTATAGTCTCTATAGATTAGACCAGGGGTGGGCATCTGCGGCCCTCCAGTTGTTGTGGAACTAAAGGTGCCCATACACTGCTCGATTCTCGTACGAGAATTGCGGGAAATCCCGCAATCGTACGAGAATCGCACAGTGTGAACGGTCGCACGTCTTTTGTCTAAGGAGCACACTAGAAAACCAGCCGAAAATCGTACGATTTTCGGCTGGTTTTAACGGTGCTCGGGAGACAAATGCCGAACGGGGCGGTGTGCGCACGCGCACACTGCCCGTTCAGCATTGCGGTCATCGAAAGCCCGCCCCTCAGGGGGGCGGGCTTGCGATGGTCGAGAGTACAATCTGACTGTCCAAGATGGGCAGATCGTATGTTTTTTAAATTACTTTACAATCATCGCAAGACTAAGGTCTTGCGATGGTTGTAAAGTGTATGGCCACCTTAAGAGTCCCATGAGGCACTGCGAGACTGATGTTTACAGTCATGACTCCCAGAGGCAGAAGCATGTTGGGATTTGTAATCAAAGCTGGAGGACCGGAGTTGCCCACCTCTGGACGGCGTGAATAAACTTACCTTGGTGAACTTTTAGCATTCAAATGGATTCAAGTTTTCTCTCTCCTTCAGTTTTTATAGGAGGTGTCACTCTGGTTAGTGTGATCTGACAGTCTGCATGTTATTTCCACCTATAACTCTCTTATATGTATCTGATGTGAATATTGATTTTTTTACTCTACAACCATGAAGGTTTTTTATTATCCAAGCACAGCCTGAAATATCGCTTTCACTAATTAGTGTTAGCCATGAAATCTGTCTGATTTCCAGATTCCAGCGGCCGAACGTTCTGGAGCGCAGACTTTGTGGTGTGAACCGGCCCTTAGGGCTCATTCAGACGGTCTTGCACGTCCGTAAAGCATCCATAGCCATTAAAAAAAAAACCCCGATCCCAGTAGGGACAAGTAATTGTGCACAGCAGCCAGTTCTTCCCTATGGGAGGACGCGGCTGCATGCAATTACATGCACACCCAAACCTACACAGCTGTGCGGCTCTGGGTATCCGTACTTGGATGTAGAGTGTGTGCATCCAAATGCAGGCACCTGGACCCGCACAGATGATCGGGTGTGCGTGTAATTGCATGCAGCCACAATTACTCGCAGCACCTGTCCCTGCTGGGATGAGGTCTTTTTACTGAGGTGCACGCCCATCTAATGAGCCCTTAGTTTAAATGTGGGTGGAAATGCTCTAAATTAGTCTTAAGCTGGCCATACACTTTACAACCATCGCACGACTTTCATCGTGCAATGGTTGTAAAGTACTTTAAAAGCTTGTACGATCTGCCCATCTTGGACAGGCAGATCGTACTTGCGATCAACGCAAGCCCGCCCCACTTGCGCACAACGGCCCGTGCGGCATTTGTCTCCTGAGAACGCCACTAACCCGCTGAAAATCGTACGATTCTCGGCGGGTTTTCGAGCCTGCTCGGGAGACAAAAGATGTGCGACCGTACAGTAGAAACGGTCGCACGCCTTCCATACACCTGCCGATTATCGTACGATAATCGCAGGTGATCCCACGATTATCGTACGATAATTGGCAGGTGTATGGGCACCTTTTACTTTCCAATGTTAAAATGTAGCTGCACCATCCACTTCACTCAGGTGTTGTGTAAAAAGATTTCATTACATGTTAATGGAAATTAGGGGGGGGGAGCCTTCACCCTTCCTTATTCCGACTCCTTTTATCCCACTCAGTGGCTTGGTAGAGTATCACTGACTCCCCACGATGAAGTCCTTAGGCGGTGACATGTAAAAGAAGGTTTTTGGTTTTCCATCAACATGCAAATCGGTTTTAAAACCACAGCTGATTGAAGTGGATGTTGCAGCCATATTGTAACACTTGGGGGGATGCGATGGTTCATGGGTATCCAAGTAAGCTGGTCAGAGTTGCCCTTTCATGCACACGACTAGTGCGAGCAGCTGGTGTGTCGTAGCCTCGGTCAGTACTTCTAGGTCAAGGTGAATGTTCAATAGGGCTGCAACAACTAATCGACATAATCGATTATAATCGATTATTGAAAAAGTTGTCAACTTTTTCAATAATCGATTAATCGGCTTCCGATCAGTTGGCCCTGTTCACGGCTCCACACGCGCGCCGCACCTCCTCCTCACCTCATGCTCGCCGCTGCCAGACCCGCCCACCCGCATCCACGATCTTCACGCCGCACCTCCTCCCCGCCTCACTCTCACCGCCCGCCCACATGCACGATCGGCACAGGGACGCGGGGAGATGTAGTAAGGAGGAGCAGGTGTGGGGGGTAGTGCAATCTCAATACAAACTAGTAGTCCATCACTGGAGCCACTTAAAAAATTAATTTTATTGTTTATCCGATTAACCGATTAATCGAACTCAATCGGCTAACTAATCGATTTTGAAAATAATCGTTCGCTGCAGCTCTAATGTTCAAACATGCACTATGCTTGAGAGCGACCGGCAAATACATTTCTCCTTAGTGTGTTTAAGGCCTGGTTCACACCAAGCACGTTCCAGGAGCAGAACAGTTACAGAACGGATCAAAACTGCGTTCAATGTATTCCAATGGTATTTTGGGCTCTAGTTCACACCACTGCGTTCAGTTCCAGAGCATGTAAAAAAAACTGCAGCAAGCCCTATTTTACCTGCCCTGGAACGCACTGAAAGGCCATTTTAAACTTACTTTTTTTTACCAAAAACGGCCCAGAACGCAGCAAAAACGCGGCACAACCCACTGCACTGCGTGTACAGAAACTCATTGCAGATCTGGTCTGCATTTGGTGTGAACAAGGCGTAATTTGTGACCCGTTTATTTGTCTGATTTTATGATGTGCTTCCAATTATATAAGATTTTTTTTTTTTTCTTTCAATAGAGGAAAACAATATTCAGTCACCCTTCCGTCATCTTTGTCCCCCGGAGCCAAGACCAAGGTCATCATTGAGGTGGTTTATACCCATGTACTGCAGCCTTACCCCACCCAGATCACACAGGCTGAGAAGCAGTTTGTAACCTTTGAAGGAAACCATTACTTCTACTCCCCGTATGCCACCACATCCCAAACCACACGGGTTAAGCTGGCCTCGAGGAATGTCGAGAACTACACCAAGCTGGGAAATCCATCCCGATCTGATGACACCATCGAGTATGGTCCATTCAAGGACATCCCCGCCTGGAGCCAAGTAAGTCCCTTTCCAGCCTGTTATATTGCTCTCTTCAGCTTTGCTGTTCATTCATAATAAATAAAATACTGCTCTGATATACACTGAGTGGCCAGATTATTATGACCACCTGACGTTTGTAGGCTAATTAGCTATAATTTCACGCTGAAGTTTCTAGAGGGCCAGACCATTATAAATAGGGAAGCAGGTTGGTTACCACGACAGTAGAAGTGATTTCTGAAGATACGGGTAAACAACGCGATTTAACAGCCTTTGAACGCGGGATGGTTGTTGGCGCTCGGAGACATGGAGCGAGTATCAGCAAAACAGCAGAATTCGTTAAATGTTCAAGAGCAGCTGTTGTTAAAGTGTTTAAAGACCGGACTGTCAGCCGAAAATCTGGGTCTGAACGTGCGAATTGTGGCAGTCAGCGACTAGTCAATGTTAGGGCAGAACGGGGGAGGGGCAAGACTGGTACAAGACAACAGAAGGGCAACAGTGCCGTGTCAGATTCCTCGCATCACCTTTCATCATCTCGTGGAGTCACGAGGCGGCCCAACGAAGTACTGATGGGGTGGTCATAATAATCTGGCCACTCAGTGTATGCAACCCAGATACACCAATTGCAGTGGTCTTGTGTGGTTACCTAAAGAGTGTTTTGGGTAGAGTAAGGAAGGGGGTGGAACACCTGTTGGGTTCGTATTGCCCCTTGTGCCCCCATTCAGCAAAAATCACCGTCTATTTTTCCTAAGCGAGGGGAAAATCCAGTAATTATTCTGCTTTGGGATCTTTCCTATTTGACAACAGACTTCTCTGCTAATCTCATTCTCCCTCAGAACCCCTTGAAGATTCACTATGAGAACAACAGCCCCTTCCTGACCATTACCAGCATGACGCGGCTTATCGAAGTCTCTCACTGGGGTAACATTGCAGTTGAGGAGACCGTTGACTTGAAGCACACAGGAGCCGATTTGAAAGGTCCTTTCTCCAGATACGACTACCAGAGGCAGCCAGACAGCGGCATTTCATCTGTCAAATCCTTTAAGGTAAGAAATGGAGGACATCTGTTAATTTTATTCACCTCTTCACAAAAGCAATGGTCGCTTTCTGCTTGGGGACCCTTACTATTTCTTCTGCTGTCCCATTTAACATGTGCATTAAGGCTCCTGTAAGCTCTATATTGCTCCCTTATTTCACAGCTCTCTAGCAATCCCTAGAAGGCACCTGCAAAAACTTTTTTAAAAATTGCCTTTACATTTTAGAAGTTCGATATCCAGGGTTGCCTATGTTGTAAGTTTGTCCATATACAAATGGCCCATATTTGAGGCTTCAGACTGGGGTGGAGTTACAGCCAGCATTAACATACAGTAGGTGCTTTTATCCCACCATGGGGCCACCAATCTGAAAGGGACCAAGTGCTATATGCATTTGATTCCCCATGTGAATAAAATAAACATTTTTAGTGAGACTGTGTAAAATCTGAGGTCTCACATCTGCTGTATATATGTATGTGTGTATATGTATATATGTGTATATATATGTATATGTATATGTATGTGTTAATTTTTTTGCTCATGAGAAGGTTTTGCCCTTCAGACCATCCTTCCTGCTGCTGCCCAGGACGTATACTACAGGGATGAGATCGGAAACATCTCCACCAGCCACCTCTTGATCCTTGAGGACTCTGTGGAGATGGAGATTCGGCCCAGATTCCCACTATTCGGAGGCTGGAAAACACATTACATGATTGGCTACAACCTGCCAAGTTATGAATACCTCTACAATCTCGGTGAGTCGGATGAAAACCTTGTGTCGCTTCCTTAACTGTTTGTGCTGCTTTTATAGCACCTCCAGCTAACAAGGCCCAACATGATTAGTAGAATTTGAGACCTTACCTGTGTGGGGCTTTGTCTATAAGCCAAGTTTTGTGTTTTCTTTGTAATACGTTGTAAAAGGTGTTTGTTCAGGTGCCCAGACCGCATAGAATTATGTTGTCACCATCTGG